TCAGGGGACAGCATCATATGGTCACTACTAGTGTTTTGTGATCTCTCTGTCCAGAGGGCACCTCTGGGCATCTGTCCCATCCTGTGGATCCCCAACCATCTCATGAATCCCCGTCCCCTGACAGAAGAGAGGTGAGGAGGTCCCTGCAGTGGCGTTTCATGGGACATGTATTTGGGATTCTGCTCTGCTACTTGGTGTGTGGTATTTATCTCTGAAGTGAGAATACAAGAGCTAATTAAAAATATGGTGTGTATCTAAATTTTTAAGAAATTATTACAACATCTTCATAGTTATCCCCCCATACAGGGGCCTTCTGGACCCTCTCCTGGGCCGTCTGGTTTAGGGGCATACCATGCTCTTTGAAATTAGGGCTTAAGCTATAACAATAAAAATTAAAGCCTACTTCATACACAAAAACAAATCGATGAAAAAAATACTATGTCAAGGCTATGCTATATGTGGTTCTATAGAATAAAGATTAATAATAGTAATGTTATCTTTAAAGTCAAAAAGAGTAACTTGATGTTACAGGAGCTATATCCAAAGCTTAGTTCTACGAGTTACTAGTGGAACAAGTCTCTCTCTTCTCTGTCTCATTTTTTTCTTCTCTAGAACACAGGGGAAATTGCCACCTATTTCCCAAGGCTTTACAAGAAGTAAATGGCCTAGAATATGCGAAAGTAGCTACAACAGTGTCTGGCTCTTGGCAGACACTCCATAATGTAGCTGAATGAGATTCTTTGTACTTTAAATCTAACAATGACACACACGAACGCGGTGTAGATATACTGATTTTTAACAATAGAACATAATCCCAGTAGAGACATTAGTGCTCATTTTTCATAATGATGTTTTAATAATCAGAGGCTAAGCCATGAGGACAGGAACTGGTGTACAACCCAGGGGTTAACTGCACAGAGTCACACGGGCGGTTCATATCCATTTGCCAGCCCCAGAGACCCTCCGCTAAAGGCCTTGCAAATGTAACCCAGCCTCTGTGTGCTCATTCTCAGGTCTGTAATGTGAAAGCGTGGTTGGGAGGATTGCAAAAGTTTATATGGGCACTGCTCTTAGTACGGTAATGGGTAAGTGCTGTGTAAGCCACCCCCCACCCCGCAGTAGTCTCGCCTTCCTCTGCCCCCGTGAACCACTTATAAATCCTAAAGAGAGGTTTGGATAACTTTCCACATTTGGTTTTTGTGCATATGCCTTTTCTCCTCCGTTGTGTCTAAGCACTTTGAGGGTGAGCTGCTGTCTGATGCAGTCCACGCAGAGCTCACATTTAAGTAAGCTCTCCATAGCTGTTTGTGGAATCTGTGGAAAAACCAAGGAACGGAAGCTTATCCTTGGGGTCCCCTTCTGAGAGGCTTCCAGGCTGTGTACTCCTCCATCTTGCAAACCCATGGCTGAAGCCCTTCATCGTGCTGAGTTTCCTTGTTCTGGCTCCAGAGGTTCCAAGCAGAGCATCTGTACTCAGAAGAGACCCACTGAAGCCATAGGCATCCAGCTGCCACTACCCACATCAGTTTGGCCAGCCCACTTACACTGAAGCCTCACACCTGGACTGACAGACTGGATGATTAAGGGTTCAAAAGCTCCTAGGCATTGTGATCCAAGGACACCCCACACACACACACACACTACCACCACACACACACACACACACACACACACACTGTCTGAAGGTCTGCCATTGCTCTCCAGGAACCAACTCCCACATACTTGGGGAAGAGAAGCACATTATGATACTAGCTGCAAGGGTCTCTGAAGCTCAGGGCAGGACAAGTGATGAGTGACTAAAGCAGTAGGGTGGGGAGGAGAGAAGAAGGCAAATTCAGGAGTCTGGGAAGGGGGTTGCTCTCTCTTGTCTTCAGGAGCTTGGCAGTGAGGGTCTGACAGAGGGGATGGAGCCCCAGAAGCCCCTCGCTACCCAGCCATCCCAGAAAAATGACCAGGCTGTTCTGGGCTCATTCCTCACTCATTTTCCCATTCTTTCTCCAGCGCCCCCCCACCCGCACCGACATTAAGCATGTGGGCCACCCTTCCAAGAGGCCACTGGGCAATGCTGCCCGAGCTTGGGCTTTGGGAACAATTAGACCTTATTTCAAATGTAGACTCTGCCAATACTGTATGATGCTGGCCATGTTCCCTTGCTTCTCTGGACTTCAGCTTCCAGAATTACTAATGTCACTCTTCCAATCTGACTAAAAATTGTTGAAATTGATGCAAGCTAATTCTATTAAGCCTCCAGTGGTGCAGAGTATGTAGTAAATGTTCTGCAAATTATTATTGGGGGATACAGTGTCAGGTCTCACCGTACTGTACTCTCCCCCTTTTCTTCTATTTTTACCCAATTGAAAGCCAGTCAGTCATAAAAAGGCAGCTCTGCCTGGGTGGGTGTTAAAGATAGAGAACAGTTCTCCAGTTGTCTAGGCTACATGGTAAGACAGTTGTGAGGCCTAGTGTCTAACTGCACCCAGGTCTGTGTGCCTGTTCTGGGTAGGTTGTTTGCCATCAGTGTGCACAGAACTTGTTCCCTTTGAGTCAACCGTCTTTCTCCTTTCTCCCAATTTCCTACTTGCTTTTCTTTCAAAAGGACACTGGGTTCTGAGTAGAAGGATTGGATGTTTGATTGAGGGGGGAAATCTCAAGAAACACAGTACAATTGATAGCAGACAATAATAGAAAACTTCTGAGGGCCAACTCTGTACCTGGCATATTTTGTGCCCATTACATTATTATCATAACTCTAGGAGAGAGCTGCTTGTATTATTCCCATTTTATAGATGAAGAAATGGACACATAGAGAAAGTAAAACACTTGTCTGAGGTCACATGGCTAACAAGTAGGGCGGTGAGATTTTAAATTAACCTGACTCCAGGCCCACCTAGGATGAGCCAATCCTTTATGAGGTACCTTTAAGCCATTTCTAATCCTCACAACTTTATGCACTACAGGTTGGTAAGAAAACAAAGTTAGAGAGAATGAGCACCTTGCCAAGGCCAGGCAGCTGGTAGCTGTGGAGCCAGAGTCTGGACACATAGCGTGTGTATGTTTCCCATTCTCCTTTATAGCAGTGCCTCCAATTCAGCAGAACTTGCAAGGGGGATTCTGATGAGAAGGGAAACCAGCCTTTGTGAGTACCTATGACATGGTCAGCACTTTCCCATAAGGGATCTCATTTAATCCTCATATACTCCATCAAGAGGGTACAAATAGCCACAACAAGAAAACCAGACTCAGAGAGGTAAAGTGACTTGCCAAAGATCACACAGCAGTATTCAGGAAGCTCAGGATTCACACTAATTACTGAGACCTGAGGACTTGCTCCTTCTATTGGGGTATACCATCTATAACAGCCCATCCTCTGGCTTTCCAATTAAGCTTTGCTCCCAGCCCAAACTCTATTTTTTGTCTAATCTGCTCCAGGAGGCTGATCTCCATGGACAGTATCACAAGGCTCTCTTGTTCTCTGCCTTTCAGCTTGTATCATATTAACAGGAAGTTTCTACAGGAGACCACAGGCCGCAAGAAAGAGGTCAGGGTGTTTGCTCCATGTCCTCTTTCTCTGCCTTGTTTTTGGTTTTATTTTTGGTACTGGGATTTGAACCCGTGGTCTTCACATATCCCAGCGCTTTTATTTTTTATTTTGAGACAAGGTCTTACTCAGTGACTAAGTAGTTCAAGCTGGGCTCAAATTTGTGATCCTCTTGCCTCAGCCTCCCGGAATGTTAGTATTATAGGTGTGGGCCATCACAACCTGCCCTGCGTGTTTTGATTTTATGACAATAGCTCCTTTTGGGCAGTCCTCTTACATGACTCCAGCTCTTACTGGGCCCTAAAAGCCCAATTTCTCCCACACACTGAAGGATGGAAATAGCTTTCTGCTGTCTTCATTCTCAAACTGTTTCAATGTATCTTGCCATGCTCTACAAATTCCCTTCATCAAATTGCCTTCATAAACCCAGGTGAGCATCCTGGGCCCTCCGGAATCTGACCAAGCCTCTGAGTGTTTGTCTGTAGTCAACCCTCTTGCAGCTGCTTAGAAGGAGAGCCATGGCTTCTTGCTGGTGAGACAGCTCCAGGGGTTTCCAGACTAACTAGGGGATAGAAGAACAGCCAGGGACTAACTAGAGGCTGGCTCTTAATGCTCTCTCTGCCTCTGTCCATCTGCAATTGCAAGTGGGGGCAGTTCAGCCTCTGTAGGTCCAGTGCCTCATATGCAGTGTGTCAGGCTCCACCAGAGGTTGTCTCTATTCCCTCCCATCCTTGCCTGTGAGCTACCACCTGGAGAGAGTAAGGAACTTGCTGCCTTTGCATAGTATAGCAATGATGTGAAGACTTGAACAACTGCATCTTAATTCCGTTACTGCTTCTCTGGTTTGCTCTGGGGTGTTTTTTCCACAGCTCAATAAATATTTCACCAGTGGTGACTCAGTATAATTGCAACCCCCCCATGCCACCCCAGACAGCTTAAAATCACTCTTTGACATAGACTGCTACTTTGTCTACCCAGGTCCCCATCCTCTCACCCACCTCTGGCTTTCTTCAACCAAGACAGCTGCCTGAAATCTGTTCCGAGATGTGCACGGAGAGAAGCTGGGGAAGAAAGAGGAATTGTTTTAGGCAAAAAAGAGGAGCTTCCCTGGCCATCTGCATAAGCACCAAGAAAAGGTGCATGGAAGCTTTGTGGAGATTAGCTGTCTGTTTGGAGAGAAACACCCTCACCGATTAACTATATCATTTATTCTGGAAAACATAGTCCTTGGAATACTCTTAGCTGATCCTCGCACTGGGATGTGAAGTTAAACTGCCTTCTGCTCCCAACCCATCCTTTTTACTTGCCAGGTTTGGACAAAGGGCCAGGGAGGAGAGGAGAAAGGAGAGCTCCAGCTGAGGTGGGGAAAGGAGCATGGAATATAGGATGAGGAATTTTGTATGCTAGAAATGAGGTTTCCTCACTGTCTGGTTATCCTAACATTTTCTTCTTTAAATACTAGGACACGGCCAACTTAAGAAGTCGGGGAGAAGAAACCCAGCCCTGGGGCTGCAGCTGCTCAGCTATGAAGTGATAAGGAGGACCCTGGCCCAGCGCCAGAGGGGAGCAGGAGAAGAGAAGATCATCCATGTTGGTGGGCCCTGTGGGGAGGGAGGAAGGCTCTGCAGACAGCTGGGAAGTGCCTCTGACTGGCGTGGGGCAGGGCCTGGGGGAGAAATTGCTGGCAAGGGCAAATAGGGTGAAACAAATAGGGGGTACAGAGTCCTGGGTCAAAGAAGCACTCTTTCTCCCTTCTTCTTTGGGCCTTTGTTGTTTAATTGAGTAATTCCGGCCCCAGGGCAACTCAGAGTTCTCTGGCCTGCTCTGGAGATGTTATTTAATTGCCTTAAGATTCTACTTGAGGATTTTCCTTCTGAAGTTCCTCAAATGGCCCAGCTTTACCTTGCCATTTTAGTGTTTGATTCTCTCCCACCTAATCCCCAGGGGTCTCCAGAGCAGCAAGCCTTTCAGAAAGCCCCCAGAGCAGACTGGCCTCTCTCCCAGAGTCTGAACTGGGCCGTGGAAGACCTGCCCTCCCCCGACTGAGATGAGAGCACCTGATCCCAGACCCTAGCAAACCCTCCCTCCCAGAACACAAACTCTCAGGAAGGGTGTGAAATGCCAAGCAGAGAGCTGAGAGTAATTCCCCAGAAGAGTAAGGCTCTTTCTTCAGTCCTTAATTTGCAATGCAGACGCAAGGAGAGTGAACTGCCTTGCCAGTGGGGGCGAATTTGTTTGTCAGGTAGCTTGTCTCCTCTAAAAGAGGGACCTTGCGCCTGAATCATCTGAAGCTGCTCCACCTCTGAAATCTTAATTTTCTGCATGTTATTCTGTGGCTATAAACCTGTCGTTTTAGCTTTTCCCCAAACCTGTCATTCTTCCCCAAGACTTTTAGCTCCAAGCCCCTCTGAATCCATCATTCTGGGAGGGGGCATTCCTTTCACGACTCAGGCTCCACTCCAAAGTTGACCATTGCACCTCCCCGCAACAAGGGAGGGTCTTATTTCTGGCCCTTCTTGCAGTGGCCATACCAAAATACTAGAGTTGGAGGTGCTTAACACAAAAGAAGTGCATTCTATCACAGTTTTAGAGGCAGAAGTCCAAAATCAAGGCAATGGAGTGTCAGAATCTTTCTGAAGTCTCCTGGGGGCGAATCTTTCCTTTCTTTTCCACCTGCTGGTAACTCCTAGCATTCCTTGGCTGGTGTTAGCATAACCCCAAACTCCCCTTCCATTTTTCTGTAGCTTTCTTTAACCTTAGTCTATGTGCCATTTTCTGTTTCTCGTAGATGAAGGGCACACCTTAATTCAATATGATTTCACCTCAATTTTTACCTTAGTTACATCTCCAAGATCCTATTTTCCAAATGAGGTTACATTCCAAGGTTCTGAGTGAACATGAATTTTGGGGAGAGGCTATTCAACCCTTTACAGCCCTCTTTTTCTTTCTGTTGCACCTGCCTTCCAAATCTCCAAGCTTAGCTCATGACCACATTTGAGCATCTCCCTTTTGACCTGTTGAGCTTAGGTTTTAGTTCCTGCTCCTTGCTGCTCTCAAAGCCCCTCAGCCAAAGGAGAGTCCCCTGTTATACAGCATTAACTCCCATTTCCTGCAGAAGCCAGCTCTACAGAGATGATCGAGGTTGGCGGGCAGATCTCCCTCAAATTTTAATCCTGAGGCCCCTACAAACATCTGTGTATTTTCACCCTCACCCTTTTAAGTAGGATGAGTACCATTCTCATAGCACCCAGCTGCCTAAGCACCATTCAATCACGTATTTATCCAGTATATATTGAGTACCTGCTGTGTCTCCGGCATTATGCTAACACTGACCTCATCTTCCACAACTAACGGGGTCATTACCTTCTCAGAGTTTATGGTGTAAGAAGAATTCTCCATGGCTCTTCTATAGGATTGTATTCTAAGGTTTATTTTCTTCAGGTTGGCGGAGCACTCCCTTCGCTTGGCCCTATACTACTTTGATCTCTTGTCTCCTACAGCCCACATCAGTAGCCCAGCTGAACTCTCACCCAAGCCAGGCTCTTATACTTTTAAACTGTGGTACTTTTTCTGCCTTCTGTCCTCCTGCAAAACCAGGAATTGCATACTGTGTTTAGTTCCAATGCTTCCTCATTCTAGGAGCCTTTCTTGACTGGCCTGGTTCTAATACCTTGTTTTTGTTTTTTTCGTCTTTTTGGGACAGGGTCTCACTATGCAGTTCAGGCTGGTCTCAAGCTCACTTTGTAGCCCAGGCTGGCCTTGAACTCACAGCAATCCTCCTGCCTCAGCCTCCCAAGTGCTGGGATTACAGGCATGTACCACCATGCCCAGCTCTTTTGCATGAATCTCTTGTGTGAATCCTGCTGCCTTGAGTTTGGGTGTCTGTCTCTCCTTTCTCTTGAAGTCAAGGACAATTTTATTCATGTTTATTTCCTCCACCTCTAGCATAATTTAAGTATATAGTGAGCATTTAAGTGTTTAATAAAAGAGGTAGTGGAAGACTTCAGTTCAGCTAAGAGTTAAATCTGCAGGGTAAGGACCTCCCCACCTTCCTCTGTCCTCTGCACTGGACCTAACTGTGTGTTCTTCTGGGCTATTCATGGCCAAGGTGCTTCACATGGCATAACAGAGGTGCTATGGGTTGAGTTGTGTTGTCCCCAACTCACACTTTAAAGTCCCAACCCCCAGCGATTTAGAGTAAGGCCTTATCTGGAGATAGGGTTGTTGTAGATATAGTTAAGATGAGGTTTTATTGAAGGAGGGCAGGCCTTTGCTCCGATATGACTGGTGTCCTTATGAAGTGGGGAAGCTTGGACACAGACATCAACCCAGAGAGAAAACCATGAGGAGAAGAACCAACAATTACCAGCAACCACTAGAGGCCAGAACAGAAGCGTGGAGCAGATTGTACCTCACAACCCTTGAAAGGAACCAACTTTGCTGATAACTTGATCATGGACTTCGGTCCCCTAGAGCTGTGAGACAACAAATGTCTGTTTATGCAATTCAATGTGTGGCACTTTGTTATAGCAGCTCTAGCAAAGTAATACAGTGGTGAAGTGGTCAGAGAAGCCAGTACCTTCCATTTGCTTAGCAAAGCCCTCATCTTTCTTATGCATGTGCCATTGACTCCCATCTAAACCAATGAGGTAAGCTCATTGGTCGCTATTGTCCCCAGATAACAAGAACTGAAGCCCACCAGGGGCAAGGAAGTTGGGCTTACAGCTTTCCCTGGTTCTTTCTTTCTCAATCTCCCCCGACCAACCCCCTGTATGGGTATGTATGTGTTTCATGGGAAATTTTAGTCTCTTTCCACTGTACCTTCAGGCGGCTTAAAGGCAGCTTTGAAAAGTCTGAGACATTACATGGTTTGTGAAGGTATTTTCATTACTTAGTCTTCCCCCTAAGGGAGCCCTGCCTCCATGGCGTCAATCTGTTCTCGGCACAATGAGCCCTAGAGGACCCTGCTTCCAAGGCTCCAATGAGCATGTTGGGCCATTTAAGCCCCTAGAAACATTTGCGCACCTGGGGACCCAGGGAAAAACACTGCCCAGGCTACTGCTCTGTCCCTTCATAGTCCCCTTGTCCAAGGAGCTTCCCCCAGGGGATGGCTCCTCTTTCTCTTCTGAAGGGGGTTCTGGAGACCTTCTCAGGCCTCTGTTAGTCTCAGGGCCACATTCCACTCACCCAGACACACCTCCCATCCCCTCCAGCCCTGTGACCCCCTTCCTCCCACATGGGATCTCCTTGTGGAAGCTGCCACCAACCGCTCATCCTGTGGGACTCTCCTGTGGACCCCGCTGCTGCAAAGGAGTCCGTCATCCCCAGGGGCTTCTTCTTTTCTGCCCCTGCAGTCAGGCACACAGGCCATTTTCCTTTTTAAGGGTTTTACTGTGGCCTATTGTGGGAAGATAGAGAGAGGTTGATGACAGTTACAACTTGGGGATATTTCAAAGCTTAAAAATAATTAAGGTATTCTTTCATCTGGGCCCCTGACTTTCTTCCTGGGATGACAACAGCAGTGCCTCTTACTTAAAATCCATACAACCCACATTTTTATGATAAGAAAATGAAGATGGCATGCAAGCAGAGCACTGCTCCAAAGGCCACCTGACTCTGAGGGCCTGGGCGCTCTGGAACTTTCCCACCTATGGCTCCAAAGTTCTCCAAATGCAGGTTTTCCTACAATTTTTAGAGCAGGATTCTTGCCTTTTGAAAGTAATAGACTCCTCAGCTACTTGGTGAAGCCAAAAGGCCCCTCTCAGAATAGTTTCTAATGTAAAAAATAAATTATAAAGGAAATCAACTTCTTTGAAATAGTTACAAAAAAATAATTTTTAAATTTTGTGATATAATAATAGCATGTAGTATTACTACTATATTAGTACTATAGCAAAATCTAGCTTCAGGTCTAATAATTATTACAATTTTGAAGTGGTAAAGACACATGATATTTCAAAATATTGTATCTAAAGCACTGTAATGTGTTATGAAAATACTCATGATTTTTATTGGTGATGAAATCATAAATATTGCTAATACTTCTGTGACTTGTGGCCTACACTCCAACTGAAAGGAGATGCTGATTTTTGGTTGATGTTTAGTGAAAATAAAGATATAATATTTTTTCCTTATTTAAATTCATGAATACAGGGCCAGGGGTATATTTCAGTTGCACAGTGCCTGTCCGGCAGGCTCAAGGTCCTGAGTTCAACTCCCAGTACCAATAAATAAGTAAATAAATTCATGAATACAAGTTAAGAGCTCTAGCCTGGCGTGGTGGCACATGCCTATAGTCCCAGCACTCGGGAGGCTGAGGCAGGAGGATTACCAAGAGTTTGAGGCCAGCCTGGGCTACAAAGTGAGTTCAAGGCCAGCCTGAACTGCACAACGAAACCCTGCCTCAAAAAGGTAAAAAAATAAAACAAAACAAACAACAACAACAACCACAATAACAAAAAACAAGTGAAGAGCTCTCCCCTAGCAGGCCAAGGCTGCTGGTCTCTGGGATGGAGTGTACTCCGGCAAGGGAAGTGTTAATAGTGGTTACGACCTTGAATCACTATGGGGATCGGACAGCAGGAGCATCTTGCTGTGATGGACCTGAGGTGGAAGAGTGGCTCAGGCCTCGGAGACATTCTCGGGGCTTTATAAATATCATGGTAGTGTTACGGTGACAAGGCTGTCCCAGCATGTTTCCTGAAGAGGATGCAGATGACACTCTGACCTGGAACACATTCTCTCGGGCAAAGCCG